TGGTATTGATATTGATACATGTACTGGTACTGGTACTGGTATTCATTACTTACACAATACGGAATATATTTTTTATTTTGTTTTACTTTTCTACTTACTACTCTTGTATTGCATATCATTGATCTTACTATTTCAATATTTTTTTTAAACCAAATATTTATTTTTACGAAGAATACCCCGTGCAACGCACGGGTGAAGTACTAGTAATAATAATAATAATAATAATAATAATAATAATAATAATAATAATAATAATAATAATAATAATAATAATAATAATAATAATAATAATAATAATAATAATAATAATATTATTATTATAATAATAAAAATAACAATAATAATTTAAAAATTAAAACGAATAGTGATAAATTTAGAAATTAAGTCTAATACTATTGTTATAGATTTAAAATGATTAGTGTTTTACTAAATAAACTATGGCCCAACCCAATACACCAGCCCACTTTAAAATAGTCCACGTTTGCTGGTTCAGCCCTTTCATTTTGACCCATTCGGGTCGACCCGGTTTCATTACACACATTTCGTTCTTCCCCCTTTTCTCACACACCGTAACAATGGGAGCTGAGGACAATACACTACACCACGCGCCGCCTCAGGTTGCGCCGCCGTCGGCGGCCAGCATCGACGCTTTCCTCGAGGTACACACCCTCGCCGTATTTATTTACTGATAATTTCAGCTTCTTCAATTTTTTTTTTGTAATTTCCTCTGTACATAATTATTTGTTTCTAGTACGATGTTACGGAATTGGTGTTTATGCTGTTCGAAATTAAATAGAGTTCTTTTTTAATTCAGAATCAGTTAATCTCTGAATTAGTAGGCTTTAATTGCAGTTTCCACTGTAATTTAATTTTTATTTTTAATTTTATTTTTTTACTATTATTTTTGTCCAATTTCTGTTTACTAGGTTGTTCTAATGGTAATAAGCATTTCATTTTACTTTAAATAACAGGCTGCTAGGTATGATGACATAGACGATGTCACGAGCATTGCATCGGCTGGCGTTCCTCTCGATTCTAAGGATCTCGAAGGCCGCACAGGTTATTTGTTCTTTATCGTGTATTTTACCGGTTAAAACATCCGTTAATTTGTGTTTTTATTTTACAATAGATTGTTTATTATGTACGGTATTGCTTCGGTTGATATACGGTTAATTTTGCAGCATTACATATGGCTTCAGCAAATGGGCATCTTGACATTGTCGACTATCTTATTCGCAATGGAGCGGTGAGAGATCTATGGCAATTGCTTTTCGCATTTACAAATTTATAGAGTTTATTGCATTTGGTAACCGTGCATTTTATCGAATTGCTGACAACTCCCGATGTTATTTTGTTGGCAAAAACACCCCTTGATAGTGAGTTTTTATGTGGTATTTTGCTAAAAACAAATTCAGTCGTAGGGTGTTTTTTTGCCAATAAGATAATATAGGGTGTTTTTTTTGAAAATTAGAAGAAAGACACAGGTGCCGAATGCAATTAACCCCATATTTATATTTCAAACCTCTCTCTTTCCGTGTTTTTTTGTTTGTTCCTTTAAACATAGTAGTAATTATGTTTTCTTGGTTGTATTTTTTATAAAAATAGGATGTAAATGCTTGTAACACGGAGAAAAACACACCTCTTCACTGGGCTTGTCTAAATGGCCACATTGAGGTAATAATCAACTGCATTAATAGCTGGAGCTGGACTAGGGGTGGTAAACGAGCCGAGCTGGCTCGCGAACTCGACGAGCCGGCTCGACAAAGGCTCGAACTCGAGCTCGGGTTTTTCGAGCTCGAGCTTCGGACGAGCTCGAGCTCGAGCCCAAAATTAGTTGTTCGACAGCTCACGAGCCGGCTCGCGAGCTGCCTTCATTTTTTTTTTTTTTTTTTAATTTTTTTTATTTTACACACACACACACACACACACACACACACACACACACATATATATATATATATATATATATATATATATATATATATATATATATATATATATATATATATATATATATATATATATATATATATATATATATATATATATATGTGTGTGTGTGTGTGTGTGTGTGTGTGTGTGTGTGTGTGTCTATATTACTTAAATAATTCATAATAATATAATATATTATAATAATAATACAAAAATTAAAAAATATATATAACTAGAGTTCATTATTTATTTTATAATTTTTTTTTATTTTCTTATAAATAATTTTTAATAAAAAAATTAAATAATAAAAAAAATTAATAAAAAAATAAAAATTAAATGAGCTCGAGCTCGAGCCAAAAATTATTGGCTCGATGAGCTCGAGCTGGAGCTCGGCAACATGGACTCGAGCTCGGCTCGTTCCCACCCCTAAGCTGGACACAATACATATCATATATGTATTGAGCTCATTAGTTCAGGTTCTTACAGGTTGTCAAACGTTTGATTCTTGCTGGAGCCAGTATCTCGAACTTGAACAGGTTAGTTCACTTCAAAACATGTCTTTTTTTTCTTTTCTTTTTTCTATTTTTACCACCAAATATTACAAGTTTGCTGGTTTATTACATGTCTAAAATAATTATGTTATCTTTGAATAATTAGCTATGAGAGAACTCCAATGGATGAGGCAGTAAGTAGGGGAAAGATGGATGTGATGGACGCAATAAACGAAGCAGCGGCCCAACTTGAACTCACAGGGGCACAAGTTTCGTAGTCGTAAAAATTGGACAATGAGTAGAGGAATGCACAAGTTTCTTAGTCGAAAAAATTGGACAACGAGTAGAGGAAATTATGTGTGAAATTAAATAGACAAAAGACTGGAGCAAATTATCTGTGAAATTTCAGACCATTTAAAATCTATTCGTATCACTAAATTGTAGATTTCATTTATTTATCAGATTTATTGCATCGAGCCGGTTGATTGAGCTGCTGCTGAAATGGAATGTAGTTAATTTTATGACCTACTACTTTTAAATGGGTTTTCTCGAATGTATGTTTGCTTAATATTTATGGGTACATAGTCAAAACTAATTGAACATGATTGTTAGAGATCGGATTATAATAAACAGTAAAAAGTAGTTTGCCCCCTAAACTATAGTCCGTTTTGCACTTTGCATGAGATTTTAGATGACTTTTACAGGGGCAAAAATGTCTTTTCATTAAGAAAATAACCTAGGGTTTGATTTTCCCCTTTTCTTTCCTTTTTTCCCTCCAATTTCCTCACATATTTCCTCTTCCTTCTCCTCTGTCTCTTACAATAATTTCCTTTTTTTGTGCTGGACTGTTACTGGTGTTTGTGGTGATAAGAGAAGACGAGAAAAAAAAAAAAAACTCACAACATTCACAAGCCATTGAAGGTCTTGGGCAATGTTTGGTGTTGTTTTTATTTTGTTTCTATTCATTCCCCAAAACAAAATTATATTTATTACATTTTTCAATTAATTTTTTCAAAACAATTTCAAAAGTTTCTCTCTCCTTCTGACATGATGTGACTGCTACAGAAATTTTACTGCTACAGTAAAAAATGTCTTCACTAAAAAACAAATAAATATCACTTCATCTTTTAATTTTTTTCTTCTAAAATACCTTTTTCTAGTGTATTTTGTCTCCTAAAATATAAACAAACATTACTTTCATTCTCAAATTCTTCCCCAAAACATATTTCCTCAAAATGAAATCAAAATAAGTTTCAATTAAATCAATTAAAGAAAATTCCACATCAACCAACCAAACCATTAGATTATCTCATGCATACCAATATAAAATAAAATAAAATAAAATAAATAAAACTGGAAATGAATGTGAATACCAATATAAAAAAAATAAAAAAAAATAAATAAAACTGGAAATGAATGTGAATTTTCAATAAACCATGACTAGAAAAAATATATATTATTTATTATTTAATAATTTAATATTTAAACATGGCTCAAATTTGCAGACGTCAATTTTAGAAACAGCTTCAAATCGAAACGGCTTCCAACAAGCTTTCCTCTTCAAATAATACCTAACCAGCTCCTCATCCGTCGGATGAAACCTAAATTCAGGAGCCAGAGAAGTCGTCGCCGCCACCTCATGTCCCATTTCCGCACAAATTAATAAAATAAAATAAAAAAAAAAAATCTAGAGGATGATCCCACAAAATATTCAACACATCAAGGAAGTCCGGGGTTCTGATTCGGACAATCCGCCCTCCTGGCGTTTAAGGCTTCACTTTCGGATCCTCTCGGAGTACCCAACAGCTGGGATACGTAGAGTCCGTCCGACCTCCTAGCGTTCAAGGCTTCACTTTCGGATCCTCTCGGAGCACCGAGCAGCTGGGATACGAAGAGTTCGGATTACTGCTCGGGTTGTAGCTCTGAATATCCCTGGTGAGGTAATTTTTTCTTGTGCTAAAATTGCCCAATACCCACTTTATGGGTTCAGATTTTGGAATTATGCGGCCTTGTACTTTAGATAGTAACACCGAGCTCAAGATTTTGTCAATGCTTTTTAATGAATTAAGCGGTGAAATTCTTGTCGAAATTTGGGGATGGAGAAGCTTGAGGTTCTTGATCTCTAAGGGAATTGAACTTCTGATTGCCATTGGCGACCAGCACAAAAAGAAAAAGAAATTTAAAAAATAAGAAGAAGAGGGGAAAAGACAGTTTGTAAATGAGAAGAAGGGAAGAGGGAAGGGAAGAGG